CCAATGAATTCTGGGCATCCTAAACTGACTCGTGTTCTAAGTCTGGCTGACAGTGAGTAGAAATAATAATATCCAGAATGACAATTTTAGAATAACTTCTGTATTTTCAATGTTGCAGCAAAAGGATAGTTGTTATTAATGCCACTGCTTTTCAATACAAACAAACAAACAACAAGGAGGCTGGACAGCTTCACAGTCTGAAGCAGAGAAATGGGATTTTGTGTTCAGTCCCTGGGTGTAAGTGGGCTGACAAGTGCTGGATTTGCTGTGGTGTAGCTGAGAATACACACTCCTCTGAGCTGCTAAAATAACAAAGAAGATTTGGAGAGTTTGTGGTAGCATCTTGTAGTTAAGTGAATATTCAGGCATCCTTCCTGGCTGGTTTTGTTGTCTCCTTATTCTTTACAGTGCTTTTAGCACAGCCAAACCACAGTCAGAGACTGAGACTCCATGTGCTCAGGAGGTGTGAACTGGAACTGCTTTGAGACTCACATTACTTGTCTGGGGGGAGCCAGACCTCTCCTCTTGCTAAGAAAGGCTCTCTATAAATTTATCAAGACCATAAAAGTAGCTGAAGATGTAATGGGCCCAGCTCACCCTGGTACAATGACCTGGCTCAGCCTTGCTGCGACACAAGGCACTCAAATGTGACTTTACCAGCCCAGAAATGGGGGCACAGTGACAAGTTTGGCTCTTCTCTTCCAGGGTGAGAGGGGACATCCATCACCTCCCTGCCCTGAGTGTTACCTCCTGTTTTTCTGCTTCAGAAAACACCACGAGCAGCAGAAACCCCCTCCACACCAGGCTGTTCAGGATGCTCACAGTGCTTTTAGGGAGTAACATAAAAGGCTTCTGCATAAAAAGAATAATCTGCTTTGCCTTGTGGATAGGACTAAAACAGCTAAAACCACTGTACAGAAAGTTCAGACCAAGCTTCATGAAAAACCAGGAACATGGTGAAGTGTGCAGCAGATCACCCTGGGAGGCTGTTGCATCTCTGCCACTCCAGATCTATAAGATTAGGACAGAAAACTGTTTCAGCTGTTTCTCAGGAATGACAAGGGGCCTGCCTTGGGCAGGAGCATGGACTGATGACATCCTGGAGTTCCTTTCAGATCTGTTTTTGCACAGCATTGCTGATGAAATGTAATTGCTGTTGTTGGAATGCAGGAAGATGTCTCCTCCAAAAGCCATCCATCATCTCCCATCATTTTGTGAGGGACAGAATCCTGACAAACTGATTCAGTAGATCCCACCTTGTTTCTAGCCAAACCACCCCTAAGGCTGAACTGTTCCAAGTTCTTTGTGGGTTTTGTAGGGGTTCATGTTCTGGGGGGTATTTTTTGGCCAAGGGGAGGGAAGGAGGGTCAGGGAATGTCTCTGATACCCTGCAAAAGGCTCCAGGATGCCATGGTGAGTTTAGTTATTTTAAAGGTCAGTTGTATTTCAACACCAGTCTGTGAAAATCTTTTTTGGGCCAGGGCGTGAAAAACTGAAATATGGAAAACTGCTGATCCTGAAACTCCTCACACTTAGAAGCTTATACTGGTATTTTCAAGCTTTCCTTCCAAACTAGGAGACAAAAAAATACAATTGCATAAAAAAGAAAGTGAGGTATGCTTACACCATGGTAATTTTGAGAACCAGGACTTTACATATACTTGAATTATTCACAATAAATTCATTAGATAAAGAGACATGAAAAGCCATTCATTGCAATCTTGTGAAAGTCTTTGTGCTCCAGTTATGAAAAGTGCTGATCACATTTGACAGCCAGCATTTTCACAGGCACATTTAGTCCTGTTAGTCTCTCCTTAGTCCTTCCTGGAAACACAGACCTGTCAGGAAGGTAACTGCACAGAACACTCCTATTTCTCCTGTCATCACCCTTGATGTTTAACATTAGATAGAGGTGAAAAAAAGTGCAGATTACAGTAATTTTCTCCTGTGACCACTCAGGTTTGATGTGCACCATAATGTGTGCACTCCTAGAAGGGGTAGACAGACTCACCTTAGTAGGCATGGTGATGAAAAAAGGCAGAGGTATTAGGAAAAAAGTTCAAGTTTCCATAAGTGAAAACCAGTTTGGAGTAGGCCTGTGCCACAAGCAACATTTAAACTAAACAAAGGAGATCACAGGAATGGGTACAGAAAGCATATCAAAGCACTATGGGCAGGTAAGAATCACTGAATAGCAAATGCCTCTTAACAGAGTTAAGTGTTCTTCTTAGTAACAAAGTAATTACCTGGTGAAAAATTATTTGCCCAGGTGAAAAATATGAAATGCATGAACTACCTGTGCACCAGGGCAAGCAGCAAGGAGCAAACACAAGGACTAAGTTAAGCACATGCCCAAAAGAACTACACCCTCACTACCAACATGTAAATATGGAATAAGTATAAGTTAGTAGATAAAATTCAATTCAATGAATGGGTGTTTCCCCTACCATGACCTGTCCCAGTGGTAAATCCTGGACATTTCCCTAAGCCTGTCACTGAAGGAAGAAGAGCACTTCAAAGGGAGGGCATTGAGAAGAGCAGGAGGATTTCACAGTTCAGATAACATCCAGCTCTGTACAGGTGTGCCCTGGGAACATCAGCCTGGGCTAACTGACACTGCTCTGCTCCAGGTCTGGCCCTGTCCATCTGCATCAACTCCTGCCCATCTGCACTGAATGGATACTGGCAGCTGGGTTGTTGTCTTTTTTGTTTGGTTTGAGATTTGGCTTTTGTTTTGGTGTGTTGGAGGGGATCTTTTGTCAATAGGTTTTGTGTTGGTTTTTAAAGTCAAATGCACACTGGTACTACTGAAAAAAAAGTTTACTTTTATAAGGTAAAACAAATCCTGATGGAAGAGCCAACCATCTGCCTGCAAACCATTGCAGGGGTTGTTGCAGAGGAAGAATTCACATAAATTTAGTATTACTACGGTTTGCTCAAGGAGATCTCAGCAGACATTTCAGCACAGATCAGAAACTGCCCTGATTTATTCTTGAATCTGGGCCCATTAAAAAAAAACAACCAAACAAACAAACACGGAGAACTTTGCAAACACTAGAATTTTTTTCTTCCCCAATAGTTGCACAAAATACTGAAAATATTAACAGGATGATGATAAAGGAACTGTTGGAGCTCTGATTTTCTGTTACACTTGAAGACTGATATATTATAGAACTGCAATTTCCACAATCAAATAAAATATAGCCATAAAAGACATTTCACATTACCACACTATTACATGTACAGCTACTGAATGTTGTTAATGTTGTACTTGTATCTGTTTCAGTTTTCTCCTGCTAAATACATGATGTAAATTTAATTTCCCATAAAAACCCTTAATAAATTAATGATATTATGAAACCAAATAAAAGTACATTATATTAAATCAAAAACTACAACAGAAATATAAGTTCCTCCAACAATTTAAAAAGACAGGAGTTTTTTTTAAAAGTGCATGGAGGTTTTTCCAAAAGCATAGGGAATGAAGTGTTCCATCAGTACTATAATGCTATGCCTGGACTGCAGATCATGAGGCCAAATATTATCAGGAAATAAACTATTAGTATCAGGGAATACACAGAAAGTATTTACCCTTGTAAGAAGCAGATACTTCTTACAATATAAATACTTTGAATTAATAAATGGAGAAGCTAGATTAAAACTACTGTCTGATGTAACCTTTATCACAAAGTCCAGTCTGTCTGTGTAAGTTCAGTATTTCAAGGGATGATTTTCTACACAAAAAGTAAACCTCTGTTTAATGAAAAATGTGTTGATTCTCCCAATGTAAAAGCTGAAGAAAATAATCAGGTTAACAAATTCCCAGTCAGCAGAGTTTGCAGTGTCAGTGACAACAGCAAATGATTAACATCCCTGGAAGGATCCTAAGGGAATGCAAGGAAAAGAACCAAATCTAAGATGGAACACACACAGTAATAGAGGGAAAAAATGACAAGGGCATCTTTTCACTAGGAACTGATCTTCATGCAGCCAAGAATCACTGGGCACCATGAGCAACAAACAATCTTGATATTAAAATGGGGTTCAATATATAAAAACCATCTGGGAGCCCTGGCTTGGCAGGGTAGGAGCTGATGCCAGTGTAAACTTTGGGAAAAGTGACTGAGAATAATTCTTTCAGGATGCTGTAAAATGCTGTTTGGGACAAGCACTTGGACTTCTGCTTCCTGAACATGACAACTCCCCAAGAACAAGTACACTCACCTTTACCAGTTCCTTTCCTTAGAAAAGGTGAAGATTCTAAAGCAATATCATCTTTTGAACAACTGCACCATCTTACAGATATCAAGCTTTACTATTCTCTCTTTTCTTCAAAAATTCTTTTTAATGAAAGAGGGAATTTAAGAGACAACTTGCTCAACATGAAGAAGTCCCATATTCTGTTTAAGGGACTCAGGACAGACAAAGTGTCAGGAAAAATAAACTTAATATAAATGCAAACTTGTATATGACAAACATCTATCATTCAGCAACCTGAGCAAAATTGTTCAAAACCTCCATTAAATTTTCTATCAAAGTCTTGACAGCTAAAAGTACTTACACAGGAAGATATGATTTGAGCAACTTTAAGTATTTGTCACACATTTTGTCCATAGCCAGGGAGCAGAACAGGAAGAGAGAAAGCAGGGGCTTTTACTGCTGAACAAAATTAATTATGTATTATTACTTCAGGCAATTGCAATGATTAATTTCTATAAAAGCAAACTCAAGTGTAATTGTGTAATTATTGTGTTTTCATTAAAATATATTGATAGTGGGTGCCTGCTGCATTATTCTCTTTATTCTGTTCTGCCTCACAACAAGTTCAGTGTAGGAAACACCTCATTTCAGGACCTATGGGCAACACTCAGGTCTGAGTACTCAGACACAACCTTTACATGTGCCCTTCAAATTACACTGGAAATTTCTCCCTTACAAATGCCAATAAATTCAAAATGCAGTTCACAGGCTCAAATGCTGCTGCTCATGAACATTCCTACCTGCAAAGGGAACAGGTGCATCTTTATCCAAAGCAACTAGGGGAGGGTCCAAAATCACAGTGTCGTTGTTTTCAGTTATGATTCCATGGTACGATGTCTCAATCCAAGGTTTGTGTTTATTCACTAGAAAAGAAGAAACCATGCCTAATTAATTTGGTTTGTATTTCATATCCATTCAGCTCATTTTATCTATAAAGAGAAATTATTTAATATACTTCCAATATTAATGGTATTACTCAAAAGCCACTAACAAATTACTCAAAAGCCACTGCAATAAACATTCAAATATAAAAGCAAAATGACATGCACATTGTACTGCAGTCAACACTTGCAGACATCCCTCCAATTAAGACACTGAAATAAAAAGGCAATTTGCAAAATATTTTTGATGTGTTCTCAGCTGTCAGCCTGACTTGGTTCAGAGAGTTTTGCAGGAATTACTTTCAGTTGCAAAGCCCTGGTACAACAGAAAGGGCATCCTGAAAAACCCAACTTGACAAGGCACAAAGCAGAAGGGTGGGGGAGAACTCTCAACTCTTGGTCACCTTCTTACTTTGTATTTTTGGAACAATACCGACAATTACCTCTGTGTTTTGTACATTGTAGAGTAAACAAACATCTGCATTTTAATTACTGATAAAAGTCTGCACATCTTCACAATTTAACCAGGGGATCTGAAGTTTTCCTGGAAAAACCTGTCCTTCAAATCCAGCTGTTGAACATTTGGATATCTGGTCTTGAAGCACACAGGAAGATCACACAAAAAGACACTTTAAGGAGAGACTACACTACACCATCAGATTGTCTTATTGCTGAACCCTCTCCATTTACACCCCTCTCACCATCCATCTCCTATTGACTGGAAAGGATGAATACACAAAATGAAAAGGAAGGGGAAAATGTAAGAGGCTTAGCTTTGCTGTGGTTATAAATTGAGATTTCTTCCTGCAGGCAAAATCTGAATGTTATGTCACTGGAACTCCTACATAAGGAATACAATGGTGACAGCTAAATGAATTTCAGTTTAAAGAATGTACTCCCCCAGGCAAGAGGGAGCACTGCACCAAGGAATATCTACCCCATTTGCAGCAAACTCAGATGCAAGGTAATTTCTATAGCTATTATATAGCTGTGTGTACCAGATGCTGAGGAAAATACTTGGTGAGTTAACAGAAATGACCTCAAAGATGGAGAGTCGGCACTTGGAGTGAAACCAAATTTAAAAACAAATAAATAAAATAATTATGAAACCAAACAAAATCTTCAGATATAACCCTAAACTCTTTCCTGTCTTGTCTTCTGTAAAAACCCCAGACATCAATGAGATTCAAGTTTCTCCCTTTGTGAAGAAAGCAGCAAAACCACCAAGACAAGACAAGGCTCTAGCCACAGGTAAACGTGGGCAATTAGCAAATTATTTTTTCACTGGCTATTTGGGAAAACATACAGATATATTTATGGGAAATTGCAGTTTATTCTTTTCCTTTGTTGCTCCTTTGTTTAACCAGTTTGTTTAGGAAACTGTGGACTTGGGAGAGTGATCCTTCTAAAGCTGAATTATTTTATATTCTAGCACTAATCTGAGAGCTTTGAGTTCATTCCTATGTTGCAATAGATCTTCTTTCAGAAGAAAACCTACTTATCTTCACAGTAGTTGGTATTGCCCATTTTTGCTATAACTAAGCAACAGGAAGATTAAACTGGGGCTGTGTCAGGGAAAGGTGAAATGGAAAACAGGGATCTCAAATCTCTATCTTGTAATGACTGTACAGCCAGAGGAGAGATTGGTGAGTTTATGTAATAGATGAAGGCCAAAAGTCTTGTCGATGTTGAAAAATGAGAAGTGATAGATGCAATTTCAGAGCTTTTTATGGCATTTGGGATTCTGGTTTGCAGGGCAGTTGAAGCATCCTGTATTTGTTAATGGAATATGTGAATTCCTGAGCATGCAGATACTCCAGTGTGCTCCAGTGGCACTCAGGTGTGGCTCACAGGCCTGGGGGGACACAGGCTGCACTGAGCCAAAGGGCATCCCCTGACTGCAGGCAGATGCAATTGAACCTCAATGAGACAGTGAACAGGAGCTCACATGAAAAGGGAACTCCTTATGCAACTCAAATTTCAACTACCAAATGCTTTTCATTCCTCCTGATTCTCTTAAGGGTCTGAGCTCTTTAAAAAAACCAACCAAACAAAAAACACCAACAAGCAAATAAAACAAAAAAAGCACCAAAACTTTCTTCTTACTGATTCCTAGGGAATACTTATGATGGCACTTTTACTTAAGGAACTCTCAGAATACAGTGAGTGCAATTCTACCAGCCTTAGCTTTCTCCAGTTGGTGTTCAATGAGCAATAACAGCAGTCAAATGAGTGGCAGCAACATCATTCCTTAAATTATATTGTGGAAAGAAAAGAAAAGTACATTATGAACCAATGCTACAGTTTAGACCTTAGAGACTGGTATTGGGAAGAGGAAAAGAGCAATAAAGCCAAAGGAAAATAAAATAATATATCAAATTATTTGCAAGCTCTTGTCTTAGAGATGAATTTCAGAGATACATCCCCAAATGTAAAAACTGTGGCTATAAAAGCTTTGTGTGACCCATGGTGTGGAAATTTTACAAATGGAAAACATCCATGCTCTTTGGGAATGCAAAGCAATTCTTTTGCATCAGATGATGTCTCTTCAAATATTTTCACATCATGAAAATTATTGATCCTTTTGCACAGTTTTGGATTCTTCCTTTAATTTAAGAAATCTCTAATCCTGAGATGAGCAGCTGGTGTTCTGGCTGGGGGGCTGTTTATATTCTCCCTGCTAAAGGCTGGTAAAATGTTACCATACCATACCAACTAACTGCAGAAACCACTCCACAGGCTTTCATAAAAATAAGAGACTATAAAGGAAAAACCTTCATATGTAACATGATCAATAAATACTTTAGAGACAAAAGGACAACTACAAAATATTAGACTGGTTCAAGCCAGTGTTTATCCACAAGTTAACACAGCTCTTAAATCTCTGGTATTTGCCTATCCTTATGCAGTGTCTTCAAAAGAAGAGAATTTTCAAAATTCAGAAGTGTTCTGTCTTGCCTTATTTGAGCTACTGATTCTACTTTGGGATATGTGAGTTGGATTTTAGGTTCCCAAAAACATAGTAGTGCCACACTGCATTTATTTAAACCCCACAACAAAACCATTTTACCATGCTGTCTATTTCAGGCTACATGAAACTGTATGTCTAACTAGAAAAGAAAAAAAAAATCACATTATTGAAAAAGTTCCATAATTTTGATTATATACAGTACTTATTAGGATATTTTAAATATTAACATGTATCCTTTTTGGAATTCTTTAAAGTTTTAGATAGGATGTGACTTTTTCATTTTATCTTTAAAATGGAAAAGGCAGGAATGGTTAAAAAATATTTCAATGCTTCTCAGCAATGCTTACCAATTCACAGCATTCTATAAAGTGATGTGACAGGCAAGCTACGTTTCTTTGGTTTGCATTTGCTGAAGATGATGGAAGAGATCTATACACAGATTTCTATGTGAAGTTTCAGGAACTAAAAAGGCAGAGCACTACACAGCCAGTCAAGTTCAAATGAGCAAATAAGCTGGATCATCAGCAGGTTAAGAGTTATAGAAGAAAACTTTTCCCTCTTAAGGCATATTAAATTGTAGTAGAGTGATATTAACTCTAAATCTAGGGAAAAGAAAAAAAGGTTCTGTCTTCCTCACAAAAGATCTTCTCTGGAAGCATTTACTGAAAGCTGGAATCAGTACAAGGCTTGTATGAATTCAAACATATTTAGTTAAGACATAAAGATACCCTCTGGGTTGTTTGTCTTTTTCAAACTTGCCTCCCTTCCTGTAATTTATTAGTCATTTATATAAATCCATACTATAAATAATTTATACCATCTATGATCAGGCAATTAATCCTCCTTTATTACAGCTTGAGGCTGATCCATTACTATTTGTCTGCACTGTGCATTTCCCAGTCTGTCCCATGAAGGCTGTGATCACAAGCCTTGGGATGCAGTGGAACCTCCATGCCAGGAAAGTGTCACAGACACATCTTTTCATGAAAACCCTTTCCTTAGGATTTTTCCTCCTGAGAAGCTGAGAGGCCTCAGGAACAAAATATAACCAATGGTTATCTGCTGCTGTGGAATGCAACAGGTGCATCTGGGATTGGGCTCATGGGGTTGTTTCTAATTAATGGCCAATCACAGTCAGCTGGCTCAGACTCTGTTATCATTCTCTCTTTTTCTATTCTTAGCTATCCTTCTAATGAAATCCTTTCTTCTATTCTTTTAGTATAGTTTTAATATTATATATATATAGATAGATATAGATAATACTATATATATATATATATAATGAAATAATAACTCAAGCCTTCTGAAACATGGAGTCAGATCCTCATCTATTCCCTCATCCTTGCACCCCTGTGAACATGGTCACAGGAAAGGGCCTGGGGATGCAGTGGAACCAGCCCTGTGTCAGGAAAGGGCCTGGGGATGCAGTGGAACCAGCCCTGTGTCAGAAAAGGATCTGGGGATGCAGTGGAACCCCCATGCCAGGAAAGGGCCTGGGGATGCAGTGGAACCCCCATGCCAGGAAAGGGCCTGGGGATGCAGGGGAACCAGGCCTGTGTCAGAAAAGGCCCCTCTGTGCTCCCTCTGCAAACACACCCGGCACAAGAGCCCAAGCAGAACACGGCCAAGGAACCAACCCCGGTCTGAGAGTCTGAGGGAACTTCATGGCCCAGGACTGCTGTCCTGAAAGTCAGCCCAAGGACAGCCCCACAGGGAACAGAGATAGCACAGAGATAACACAGAGAAAGGCCCAGATGATGTTCAGAATGCCCAAACCTTGCTGACCTTGTGCAGGGTATTCAAGACTGCAAGACATGCACAGCACTTCCCGAAGGCAATCGCAGGCTGTGCATTAAATCTTTCAAGTCCCAAAGCCTGTGAGCAGCAGAGCTGTGATTTGTCAGTGCAGAAGCATTATAGTAACAGGAGTACAATAAGGACAAAATGCATGAGGCCATCATCTTATGAGCAAAGCCATCTTTTCTCTAAGCTGAGACAGTCATTTG